ACATGTTCTGGGTTGACTGATTTAGTTTTTTCTCTCTTTTCATTGACTATAACCATTAATAAACCGGCACAATAATTATATAAATAATGCCGGATTAGTGATGGTCAACCTGTATAAATCTACACTTATTGGCTTTATGTGAATGTATATTTGCCAGCGTTGGTTTATAATTGATGAATTTTACTTATGCATCTAGATAAAATAATTTCATGACTTTTTACAAGCATCCCCCATCTTGGAAATATCAAAGTGCTATTCGCCTCATATATAAAGAAAAATGCTATCCAAATGATTGGAGAATTTGAACAGCATAAACGAAACAAATATATTACAGGTTGGTCATCACAAATCTGGCACTAATGTCTAACATAGCAATTTCACATTTCCTGTGTTTCTACACAGACCTGCCATTACGGTTTGGTGGTTCTAGATGTTGCATCAGCTGGTTTTAAGCAATTTTAGACCCTCTCAAAGTATTTCTACTCGGCTTTTCTGCATTTTTATTAAAACCTGTTGACGTTTACGGTTAGTCATGGCTCCAATCAATACAGGAAGTTCTTCTCACATTAGTTTAGTCATAAACCTTCTTACTGATCTGTTGTAGCTTCCTACGGATAATAATGGGTGTGTCCCCATTCACATAAATACAGAAGTAAATACTGTATGTTGGTTTGTATTTGAAGATTCGTCTCTAGCTGTGCTGGTCAAACTCTCTGCCTAGAGGCAGAGAGGATCCCCAGATGAGGCTATGTCGAAGGGCAGAATCTCGTCTCGAGAAACAGCTACCCGACTTCGATTTATACGGGGCCTACGGAGAATTTTTGGACGAGCCTACGGGCTCGGATACCCCACATTAAATTCGGCTTTGTGCTACATCTGACCGCGTGGGGCGGTTTCTATATATCCTGCAGTTGGAGATTCATTGTGGAATTCACTTGACTCACTTCTAGCTGTTGACTACTACTTCTACGCGCCGATGGCGTATCTTATATGTGTTGTTCTTGTCCTAAGTATTATCGTTCATTACCAACCTTCGTATGGCTATTCTATTCCGCAACCTTCCCTAGGTTACAACATGATCACATACTCTAATGTTACCGGATTAATAATATTTAATCTGATTTTGTATATGAAATTGCATTTATATTTAGATATTTAATCTTAAGTAGCGGAAACAAACCTATAATGGCCTTTATTTGATCATATCAGTAACAGTCACTCTTGTCATTGAGAAGTGAAAATGAAAATAAAAACATGCAAATTTCTTGTCCTGATTAACTCAGGAAAGCCATATCACATTAAAAAATCAGAACAGGAGTGGTGATTTATTCTGTTTCCTGTTTAGGATTGGGTTTCCGGTTCACTCAATCCTAAATAGGAAACGGCCTAAACGTTGTGATAAATATGGTGACAAAGATGAGGACAATAGTCCGAATAATGTAAATAATGTACTATCCATTCGTATTGAAGGAAAATAAAAATAAACAAGAGATAAAATTTCAGAGTTTAGGTGGAGACATTAGAAGTATAGGGTTGAAGTAAATTTTAAAAGGAACCTTAAACCCAATCTTTAACGATAAAGATTTATCCGTTGTTTCCTGTTTAGGATTGGGTTTTCGACTTCTTCCAAAGACTTCTCATTTTCTTTTACTCCTAGTAGACCCCTTGAGTTTTAATGACATTATCGCCTTGATTGGGGCGTATTGATTAAAAAGAAAGAAAAATTATTGAAAGCGTTTTGTTGAAAATAATGACCGACGCTTCTCTTGTTAAGAAAAAAATGGGATTAATATCTATTCCTGTACAGGAGGCGTGTGAAATAGACGAAAGGCGAACCTATTTACTCCTATTGAAGGAAAAAAAAATTAAAAAGAATAAATAATGTACGCTCCGGCATTCTTCAGGTGGTTGCAATTTCGAACTGAACCATTTATTTCTCTCACTGGGGTAGACTGTTCTAGTTCCACGTGCCATTTTTGATGGATGTCAGTTATCAGTTATCTCCTGCTAATTTCCTCTGAAAGTTTTCCACTGCCTTAACCGGGTATTGAACTCACGCTCTTTGGGTCTTGTCATTGGATCTGACCAACACCTTTATCCACTGTGCCATGTGTCCTTGAGGTATGAATTTCTGGGTATTATAAACCTAATGTCTTCAGCAACCATTTTTACCAGTGCTCATATTGCAATTTTGCTGTTATCATTCCATGTTTTTATCAGAGCTCATATTGCAACTTTGTTGTTGTCATTGCTTTTCTCTGGCACTCATTATTACTGGTTCCCATATTGTATTTATTTCTATGTTTGGTCGGCTCAGAAATATAGACAGACTTTGACGAATGGATAGGTTCGCTTATCGTCTGGTTTATATTCCTCCCTAGTCTTTTGAACAGGAGTAGAGGTTTATCCCTTTTTTCCTGTTTAGGACTGGATCTTCACCTTCTTCCAAAGACTTCTCATTCACTTTCACCCCCAGTAGTCTCTTGAGTTTTAGTTGCATTATCGCCTTCATTGGGGGGAATTGATTAAAAAAAAAGAAAGAAAAATTATTGAAAGCGTTTTTGTTCAAAATAATGAGCGACTATTCAACCGACGGTTGCCGGGACTCGGAGAATTTTTGTTCCTAGCCTGGGTGTACGCGCTCGGGCTCCCCACATTAAACTGAATTTGTGTCACGACCTGACCTCGTGGGAGTTGAATAAATAAATAATAATAAAAAAATACCGAGGATAATCTGGTAGACCAATAGTAGTGAGTTTGATCCTCACAAGATTCCCGACTGATTATTGCATTAGCGTTCCGACTATGAAACCACTATGGCCGATTCATCCAATGAGAAAAGAACTCTTGGATAATTTGATTTTCATACGATATAGTGAATGCAGGATGAAGATGAAAACAGCAAGTAATGGAATGGATGACTGAACAGGAACTAAAAAAGGTTGTAGAGGGTCATACATGTTAAAGGAATGTTGCACATAGAAAAAGAACAAGAAGACGGCTACGAGATAACTAGTTGTTGTAACCTAACATGGTTACCGAAGAGAATAATTAAATGAAGGTTGATAATGAACGAGAATACTTAGGACACGAACTGTGCATATAAGATACGCCAGCGGCGCGTAGAAGAAGTAGTCAACTGCTAGAAGAGAGTCAAGTGAATTCCACAATGAATCCCCAATTTCAGGATATCTATCAACCGCTCTACGTGGTTAGATGTGGCACAAGGTCGAATTTAAAGCGGGGTATCCGAGCCCATAGGCTCGGCCAAAAATGTCCCCGTAGACCCTGTATAAATCGAAATCGGGTAGCTGTTTCCCGAGACGAGATTTTGCGCTTCGTCTGGGGATCCTCTCTGCCCGGAAGCTGAGTGTTTGTCCAGCACAGCTGGAGACGAATCTCCAACTGTAGGATAGCTACCAACCGATCCAGATTGTCAGATGTGGCACAAGGCTGAATTTAATGTGAGGCATCTGAGCCTGTAAGCTCGGCCAAAAATTCCCCGTCGACCCCGTATAAAACGGGACCGGGTAGTTGTTTCCCAAGACGAGACTCTGCCCTTCAACATAGCATCGTCTGCGATTCCTCTTTGCCCGGAGGCAGAGTTTGACCAGCAAAGCCGGAGACGAATCTCCAACTGCAGGATATTTGCCAACCGCACCACGCGGTCAGATGTGTCACAAGGCCGAATTTAAGGTGGGTTATCCGAGCCAGTAGGCTCGGGCAAAAATTTCCCGTAGACTCCGTAAAAAAAACGGGATCAGGTAGCTGTCTACCACCTCAGACGAGACTCTGCCCTTCGGCATAGCCTCGTCTGGGTTCCTCTCTGCACGAAGACAAAGAGTTCGACTAGCACAGCTGGAGACGAATCTCCAACTGCAGACCAACATGCAGTATTTACTACTCTATTTATGTGAATAGAGATTTGCCCATTATCGTCCATAGGTATGTTACGACACTAGTTTTACCTTATTACTGTTATTATCTTATTACGTTAGAATACACTTAACCCTACAGCGAAACACTACTTTACCATTACCATTTATCTTAATAATATCGGCTAAGAAACGTGCGGCATTGTGGAGAAGGTCCTGAAAGCTATATCCGAACACTTACCATATTAGTATTTATAGAAAAGACACAGAGGCATCTTCACGCCGGTGGGAAAGTCATTGTAGTTAGACGCCAGTTCAGGACCGATAATATTGCTGATACTTTTTAAAATTTTATCAAGGAGCTCTTGATAAAAAGCAGGAAAACCGACCCGTCTGTGGCAGCCATATTCTAATCCTCAACGGTTTATTGCTCGTTACGAATTGATTCGTCCAGTATAAGGACATCATGATGATAATCAGATGAGTTATCACATCTTGGATGGAACATCTGTTTGCCAGCGTAATCAAAAGTCACGCTACTTTTGCAAACAACGCTTCTCGGGAAGAGGCCAAGTCGCGGACAATAATTAAACAGAAATCTATGAAAGGGGAATTAATAATTGCATTTACATATCTCGCTTTTATTTTTTTATACTTTCGTGCAAATATTTACTCTGTGTCAATTTGTGTTAGCATTGATCTACATACGCGCGAATTGAAAATAACACGTTTAAACCGCTGAAAACTGACGACACTTGCTGAAAACTGATCGTCGACATTTTGAGAAATTATAATTGATTCAGAATTGAATTCGTCAGAGAATATTTAGCAATATTAATCGTCTTATATTGGAAGATGAGTAATTCTTTTTATTATGACTTACGGCTATATCACGTTGAAGTTAAGCAACGTCAAGCTTGTTCAGTACCTAGATGGGAAACTTCTTGAAAATACCAGGGGCTGTAAGCTTGGATGTGCTGGTGGTATGGTTTACGGGCATCTCACGTTGAAACTGGTTCTCATACAATCAGCGAAGTTAAGCAACGTCAAGCCTGTTCAGTATCTAGATGGGAAGCTTGGAAATACCAGGGGCTGTAAGCTTGGATGTGTTGGTGATATGGCTTACGGACGTATCACGTTGAAACATTGGCTCCCGTACGATCACCGAAGTTAAGCAACATCAATCAAGCTCACTACCTAGATGGGTAACCGCTTGGAAATACCAGGTGCTGTGAGCTAGGATGTATCCGTAATATGGCTTACGGACGTATCACGTTGAAACATTGGTTCCCGTGCGATCAGCGAAGTTAAGCAACGTCAAGCCTGCTCAGCACCTAGATTGGTGACTGATTGGAAATACCAGGTTCTAAAACCTTGGATAACTGCTCGGAATTGGAAATCGAAGAACCTATTTCCATTTTCCGTGGTGTTCATTATGTTTACTTTAGCGCAAATACTCATGGGTAATCTATGCTTCTAAGTTTCCCAAATCCATTAGCTGCTATTACTATTTCTATTATTGACAGGGTACTTACTTTTTAACCTTTCTCTCAATATAGTGTAGAACGTTAACATCTTTTATCATCTCATTATTTTTACTTACATTTACATGTGGTATCCACTTTAGATGTTACTGCTGTTGCAAGTTTTCAAAGGATCTGGTTTCTGTTATTTGTACAGCATTTTATTTATATTGTAGGGCCAGAATAAGGTTTTTTTTTCTCAATAAGACCTACAGGCTTTACTTGCTTGAAGCCGTTTTTAACTATCGATATAAAAAAAAAACTGTTCTGTAACAATACGATTTCTCACACATTCTTAGGAGATAAGTAGATAAATTCCTTTTCCTTATAAGTCCACTTAATTATCTGTGTCTCTTCGGAATTTTGTCTCCAGTCCATCTTTGAGTCAACTTGCACGAGTTTTCCTGATTCCTGTCTCCAAACCGCCTTTGAATTGGCAAACATAAAATTTTGTTAATGATTTTAGATAATCATAAAAGTAGAGTCCTTTGAAAAGGCTAGCCACCTAAAAAGCTGAATGGGCGGTCTGTTGTTCCGGAACACAAAGGACCAGAGAGAGGTGGTTGAACCACAGCCAGTATCCATATAAGCAGAGAGAGGCAGGAAGTCAGTAAGTAGGTAGGAGGCAGTAAGTGAGTAGCTGCCCAGCGGACGTTGAGGAAGGGACCAGCAAGCACTTAGGGAGATAGCAGTTAACCATCGAAGCCGAAGTGAAATATTGGCGGTTTAGTGGGAAATCGTATTGTTTCTTTATCCCTTGAAAAGCATTTGTCTTTATTCTTTGTGAGTTCGATCACGGCTAAGGAGTCTAACCTATGAACATTTTGAGTCGGGTGTATTTGTAAATGCAGCCGAACTTGAATGTCATCACAGGTGTAGTGAATGACGGACGTGCGGACAACGTCGTCACAGTTGTATACAGATAAAAATTTAGATATTTCTAAACGAGTTTAGCGCCATTCATGACACCTATACAAAAGTGTCGATCTGACGAGGTGGTTTAAAAAGATGGATCGAATTTTTATATTAATGCTTCGGTTTTGTAGGAATTTGCGTTGTTGAAAGAAACATCTCCCAGCGCAGCGTATACAAACGCCAAGAACATTTCGAATTATTCGCAAAAATATCTATGTAAAGGATACAGCCATTAGATTTACATCTTTCCTTATTTTCAGATATTGGATTTACATCTATTTTTTTCAGACATTGGATTTACATCTTCCATTAATTTTCAGACATTGGATTTACATCTACCATTTTTTTTCAGTCATTGGATTTACGTCTTTCATTTTTTTCTGACATTGAATTTACGTCTTCTATTTTTCTTCAGAGATTAGATTTACATCTTCCATTAATTTTCCGACATTGGATTTACACTTCCATTAATTTTCAGACATTGGATTTACATCTTCCCTTATTTTCAGATATTGGATTTACATCTACAATTTTTTTTCAGTCATTGGATTTACGTCTTTCATTTTTTTTCTTACATTGAATTTACGTCTTCTATTTTTCTTCAGACATTGGATTTAAATCTTCAATTTTTTTCTGCCATTGGATTTACATCTTCCATTTTTTTTTCAGACACTGGATTTACATCTTCCATTTTTTTCAGTCATTGTATTTACGTCGTCTATTTTTCTTCAGAGATTAGATTTACATCTTCAATTATTTTCAAATATTGGATTTACATCTTCCATTCATTTTCCGACATTGGATTTACATCTTCCATTTTTCTTTCAGACATTGGATTTACATCTTTCCTAAGAACACAGAAGCGTAGTAACGTGAATAGTATTTTTCAATTTATCTAACCGACACTAAAATCTTGCTCTCATCGATTTACCGGTATATTGGTGATTATTAGACATCAAAGAGTAATATGTATGAACTTGAATTAAGATTGTATCGATAAACCGGCATTAAGTTTGGACCGATAAATCAGACTTAAAATTTACCGATAAACCGTCATTAAAATTATATTGATAAAACATTAAGTCGGTATCGATAAACAAGCTTACTGCTGTACCAATAAATCAGATTAACAATTGTACCGATCAAGTGGCATTAAGACTGTACAGAAAGACATCCTTCCTGCTGAACCGATAAATAATATTTAGATTTGTACCGATAAGCAGGCATTAAGATTGTATCGATAAACCGGCAATAACATTGAACCGTTAAACCGCTTTATCGATAAACTCAACATTAAGACTATATTGTTAAAACGGCAGTAAGTCTGTACCGCGAAATATGTTTTTTGTCGTACGAATAAATCATTTTAAAATTGTATCGATAAACCGGCATAAGAATGTACCAAAAAAACAGGTTACCTGCTGCATTGATAATTCAGACTTAAAATTGTACCGATAAACCGACATTAAAACTGTACCGATAAAACGACGTTATGACTGTACCAAAATACATGCTTACTGCTGTATTGATAAATCAGACTTAAAATCGTACCGATAAACCGGCATTAAATCCGTACCGATAAAACGACGTTATGACTGTACCAAAATACATGCTTATTGCAGTATTGATAAATCAGACTTAAACTTGTACCGATAAACCGGCATTAAAACTGTACCGATAAATCGACGTTATGACTACCAAAATACATGCTTACTGCTGTATTGATAAATCAGAATTAAAATTGTACCGATAAACCGGCATTAAAACTGTACCGATAAAACGACGTTATGACTACCAAAATACATGCTTACTGCTGTATTGATAAATCAGACTTAAAATTGTACCGATAAACCGGCATTAAATCCGTACCGATAAAACGACGTTATTACTACCAAAATACATGCTTACTGCTGTATTGATAAATCAGACTTAAAATTGTACCGATAAACCGGCATTAAAACTGTACCGATAAAACGACGTTATGACTGTACCAAAATACATGCTTATTGCAGTATTGATAAATCAGACTTAAAATTGTACCGATAAACCGGCATTAAAACGGTACCGATAAAACGACGGTTGAGTGGGAGAGTTTCACATATGCGTAGGCGCATTCCGCCAATTTTCCCTTCCTCCAACTGCTCTGCGACACCATACGCAATGAAATACGTGGACGTTTTCAGGCATGATGTCGCGTATCGTGCTCACGACAATCACATAAATTTTTGTACATTAAAGTTGGCTGGAAAGTATGGAGCCGGAAGGTAGTTCCACAAGCGAGAAGTGCGAGAAACTGAACTGTTAGGATAGAATTTACAGCTACATCAGGCCAACTGTAAATTGATCAGATCTCGACATCAATCTAGTACCGTGCTTAAATGAAATAAGTACCATAGCGAAGAGCCCATCCGAACAATTACCATGAAAATATTTATAGAAAAGCCAGAAGGAGACAACCTAGAGGCGGTGGGAAAGTAACTGAAACCGAGATATCAGATCAGGACCAATAATATTACTGATTATTCTTTAGATTTTATCAAGGAGTTCTAGATTAATATCAAGAGCACTGGACAATATGTGACTGCGATATTCTAAGCAAGGAGGAATGGTAGATTTATAGATATGTAGAATAAACACTAGCTAGATAATTTTTGGTTTGGCTTGGTTTGGTTTGGTTTGGTTTGTCTTACGACATATCAACCTCAATGAGTTATTTAATACCGACAAAGTTTTTATTGGTGGTAACATTTTGTTTTGTCAAAAATCTATTTCTGGTAATATTTTTTTTCTTCAAAAATATATTGCTGGTAATATTATTTAAAAAAAATATATTGCTGGTAATATTTTTTTTCGAAAACGTATTGCTGGTAATATTTGTTTTCAAAAATATATTGCTGGTAATATTTTTTTTCTCCTTCAAAAATTTATTTCTGGTAATAATTTTTTAGAAAGTATTTCTAGTATTAAAGCCTATTTTTACACTTTTATAATGCTTTTATCTCAGTTTCGGGGTTAACTATTTGCCCATAGCTGGGACCCTAACAGGTGCTACCACACCGGGTCAGGGTGGACCTGAGAACACCAGCAATTAAGAAGTGGTTCCACGCTCCTCAAAACCTTCTGATCAGAGACCTTGCTGCTGGACGTAGTTTATCGTCTTACCTTGGACGCGGATGTATTTTATTGTCATACCCAGGGTGGATAATTTTGGGTTTGGGAGAAAATGCGTGTGGCCACGAATGAATAAAAGTATTACTCATAGACTAGGGTTATTAGATTATAATCTAAATGTATTGCAAAGGATATCTCTATAGATATGCATGGAAAACCAGGAAGAAAGGCATTGTTACTGTTCAGGAATTAATACATTGCTAATGGTTTTTGTTGTGGAGTAAATAAGACACCCCTGGTAACACAAATGAACTAGGCAAGATGCCTTAAATAAAGAACTCCAGAATAGTCAGGGAAGTCTGTTGGAGTCAGTCGAAGATAATTTCTAATGACGTTACGGTGAGTAGTCGAAGCGGGACATAATATTATAACCACTAGGAGAGAGTTATAACAACGGCGACGAGGGATCGAAACTCATATGGTTAGAAAAAATACTTTTTTTTGCTTCGGCGCACAAGATAACAGTGACGACAAGAAATTAGAATCACGTTGATTTAATTTTTATTTTTGGTGTCTATAAAAACAAATACAAAATAGAACTCAGATATTCTTTAAATATTGAAGAAATATTAGCCCAAGTAATAAAAATACAACAACGATAACAACAGTAACAATAGCAACAACCG